TGTGGGACAAATAAAGGAAAATCTTATCTTATCTTATCTTATAATATATTAACACTGACATTCTGCTGCATAATGCATATTTTAACACACTGTAATACTTCCCTTCTTTTACTGATTTGCACTTACTAAGTATTAGTAATGGAGTGTTTTTACATTGTACATCGACTACTTTTACTTTAGTAAAGTATCTGAATACCATAATAGACAGGGGCTGAGAGGGGTGGCATAGGGTGGCAGTGGCCACTCCTAAAAAATGCCAGACCCCAGTTTGGTGTCAGACGTCTCAAACTGAACACATTAATTAAGTATAATTTGAAAAACAACCAGACATTAATTTAATGATCTGCTATGGCCACATTTTAGACTTCACTTCAATGGGAAAAGACATGTATTTGGAAAAATGTCTTTTGGAAATTTGGAAATAAAACAATTTATTGACTTCTAATGTCACCTTTAGAGGCTTCGATACTTTACTAATGTGCCACAAAAAAATTCAAATATCTTCTATATATTTATATCTATATGTGATTATTTGCGATTTAATTAGCTGTGCCGTCCCCCTGCCTCTCCTCTTTCCTCCCCATAAATATTTCTCTAGATTTACTTTGCTCCCTCCTGCTCTCCCACATGAAAATAATGACACAGGATTCAGGTGTTAACCTGAGTATTTATTGTTGTTGGTTTTTTTGGCGGGTACCTGTGTTTTTCTGAATGGATGCTGGAAAACCCATCGGTTGATTTTTGCATAGGTCTTGCCTGTCGGTGGACGACCGTCCACTTTGGGGATGGAAAAATCAGAACATCACAAAAACCATGCAGAAATAGTGAAAGGCACAATCACCATACTGTAGATATCAGATACACCAAATTTTTATATGTCTATATATTTCTTTTTTATGGGGGGGAGGGGTGTACTAATTGAGATGTAACATGGGCAAAACCCCAAGTGTTTTTAAGCTGCCATCATTTCAGGGCACAACATAAAACATATGAAACCCCCTCAGACATTCAACGCCTTTCATTTAAAACATCCTAGTGAACAACTGTTCTAATAACTATATGGGAAAATACAAGCATATTCTATTGTATTTTTATGATACATTTAATTTCATTTTTTTTTTAAATATATATATAAACTATCTGTCTCCTGCCTCATCCTTTCCCTGTCCACATCATATAGGCTCGACACACCTGATGACCACTCCCTCTCCCCATTGTTGGATGACTTTAAGTCTTAAACCACACCTTTCAATAATCACACACAACATACCGAGAACATGTTTCCTTTTTACATGACACTGGTCAGAAAGGAAGAAATAAAAATAAGGAAAACAGGACAGGTTTGCAGAGGCAGATGGTATCTGTGGTGATCTTTACATTTTGCATGCACACACATTTCATACCTGTGATCTCTCATTTTTACGTTTTCAGTCGGTATGTACTATTTTACAACAGGCAAACAAAATTCCATCTTGGAGACAGTTCGAATAGTAAGTCTGTAAGAGGGAAGCTTACATTGAGCTATCACTATATGTATGTGTGTGTGTGCCCATGTTAGCCTCATCACCTCAGATCCATCTCCCGCACCATTCAGAGGAATCAACAGGATACATAATAGTAATCTTTAAACAGAAAAAAGATAATATTCATAATTATATCATAAATTAACAGATATTAACAGATTTTTAATAAAACAAAGTAATTTATAGGATTACTGGCAGAAATGAAAAAATGGGTGGTAGGTGATTCAAGGGAAAATAATAATAATAATAATCTCTTTCATCTAGATGATCTTAAAGAGACATTTCCATTTACCAAACAATCAGAAATGAATCCCCGGACTCTCAATCTGACCTTTGAACACACCAGTACAGACTGTAATAAGACCATGTCATTGTACTGTATCTTCACCAGCATCCATACAGCCAGTGCTGTGCTAAGTGGACCCTCTGGAGGGCAGTGTTTGCCTATGGCACATCAACTCTGAGTTTTTATCTCAAAGAGATGAGACTGAAGCTGGGGCAAAAACACCACTTTTGGCCACTGAAATGCCCTCTTGATTTGATAATGAGCACAGAGGTGAGGCAGAGAGAGGATTCTCATTAGTCCCATTGGACACAACATTGTGGACTCAAGTCCTGAGAGGCTTTGACATCTAACAGAGCGTTATAAATTGTTTTGTAATATTTACAAGACAAATAAATGACCATTATCCATGTCTTTTTAAAGAGTTTCTAGCATTATACGTGTCAGTACATCTTCTCACACACAATTTGAATCAAAACAAAAAAGAATAAGAAAAAAAAATTCACAAAATTAAAACAAGCACACAGCACACCGCTAAAACTTTCACAAAATGTATGACAGTGCAAACTTACATCCATGTCTCAAATAATTTACAAACATTAGTATACACTTCAGCACCATTGTTTACTATTGTTGTTGAATACATATCAGTAAGCTAGATCTTTAAGTGGACACTGTTAATGCTGGATGTGCTAACGAGAAAGGGACGATGTTAGAGAGCAATGGGTTGCACATCCATAAGCAAGATGATAGTTCTGAATGTGTTGCAAGGGAAAGACGTTGTTAGGCTTTAAGGAGACGTTTCTTCCCCCTTTCTCCAGTTGCCTCCTGGGCAGTCAGTGACAATGGAAGGAGCTTTTGTGTTAATAGATCGTACTTTCTTTTTGGTGTTCACATGGAGAACGTAAGATCACAGCACACACTGTGGATGAAAATGGATGATGTGTGCCGGGCACATTACTTTAGTTTACAGACCACACATTTAATGATCATTATGCAGTGTATGATCTACAGGGAGTGATTTTTTTTGTTGTTGTTGATGTCTTTAAAAGCCAAACGTGTACTTTCTCTTTGTCTGACAGTAACAAACTTTCTTTTCTGTCTTTGGTGGAAGCATGCAGACAGCGAGACTGTAATATTACAATTTACGAGAGAAAATGGGCGGACAAACAATCTAACAAAACAAAATAAAGAGTTACCATCAATACCGCTCTGCACTTACTATAACCTGCCATACCCTGTAACCCAAAGGCAAGCCCTGTATCGTTTCACCTCATCTCCAGTTATACTCCTTATCAATAGTTCTTCTATATATTTATTATATAGACCAATGTCCATGTCCACAAAAACAAAATACCTTATTCATTATCCAGAGCAACACGGATGAAATATGCAAAACAAGGGCTGCTCAGAGGGTTACATAACACTTCCTTATTACCACTTATTACCACACAAACTGCATTTCTTTTAATGCCATCGAGTTCTAATTCATAACATTTCTTTTTACTCTTTAGTCTGTTTTGCTCATACTCTCACCATATTCTACTTGCTCTTATCCTTCACAAAGTGAGAAGAGAGAAATATCACAACATTTGTTACCTATGATGAAAGAGGTTGCGACATGTTTCATCGCTCTTGTCGGTTACTTTGCATGTTGAAAGACCAAACAGGAGAGAAACAAATGTGATTTTCCCCTCACACTTGTCACACGGTATATCCTTCCACCTTTTTTCTGAAAAAAAGAATCACCTGTAATATAAAGCTTCAAAGACATAATGAGTTGTTTTCTCTGCAAAGATACTGTGGCTTAACTTGTCTCTGTCTTGCATTGTTTCCACCAGAAGAATCTTAAAGTACACTTGGTTGTTTAAATTTCAGATTATGTCCAAACTGAACATACAAATTATTTTAGAGATTTCATTGTTTTCAAAAATAACATGCCTTGAGAAAGGGTGAAAGAAGGAGAATATTTTACTAAGATAGGAGAAGAAAATCAGAGCTAAACTTTTTGTTGTTTTTCAGACATTAATAATACTAAGTATAACCTGTATAAATATTTTGAATTTTTTTTTGTAGTTTGGATACTGCAATGGACAATAATTATAATAAAGGTCTAGACAGATGTACTCAGAGGGCTGGGTTCATAAGAGCAGAATGGGGCATAAAACTACCAGGTGGAGTCAGTTTGTGACTAAACCAAAACAAAAAAGCTACTAGTCTACTGGTATCTGAGTGTAATGTGATATGATGTGCAGAAATGATAGCAAATGTGCTCTGGGTGAATACATTTAATCATGTGTGTCTTGGAGTTGACTATGCACTACTAATGCCCTCAGAGTAAACGATGCCCCCTGGTTGCTGGGGAGATTAGTGGCAGATGTTACGCTTGCTAGGCTGGTGAAGGAAGGTGTTTCTGGCGTGGGCTGCGTGGCGGGGGACCTGCTCCCTGGTGAGGTTTTGGCGTTGGATGCGGTTGCGGCCCAGATGGCGCCGCTCGATGCGGGCTTTGCTACGCTGGACCCTGGCCACTTGGGTGACCTTGGCCAGAGCTCCAGCCTGGGCAGCTGCTCCACGGGTCACCCTGGTGGGCATAGTGCTGCGGGTGGCGGGGACAGCAGCTGGTTCAGCCACTCTGCTGCATGGGCAAAGAACACAAAGTGACAATAGGTGTGATTGTTGTGATAGTCGTGCTGATGCTGAAAAAGCAGGTGAAGGTCAAGTGTAGCTAGCATAAAGAGTGCTATTTCTCACCTCACGCTGCTTGCCAAGCTCATAATGCTTTCCTCTCCCACCACAGACAGGTTGCTGTTGGAGACCATGGAGAAGTTGTTGGAGGAGACGTACACCGACATGCTAGGGTGCTCGATGAGCAGGTCCTCCATCGGGCTGGCCTCCGCTGTGGCTCCCTCTGCAGTGAAACAGGGGGGAGGGGTGACAAACCAGCTCTCATCCATGCAGCCTCTCTCTGCGCCTGCCCTACTGCTACCCCCACTGCCCCCACACTCACTTCCAGAGCCAGGGGACATTGACGGGGTGGAGGAGGGCGTAGACAGTCTGGCCCGTCTCGGCAGGGTCACGGGTGTAGTGGCACCCAAGTCTGACGGGCTAGCGCTTTGACAAGACAGGGGGTCTGATGATGCTACAGCACCTCGTGCCCGACCTTTATGTGTCCTACGGCGCTTGTAAGGTGCGTGGGGAATGGGGGCCGGACATTCAGTCCTTGAATGTGTGTCTTGATGATTTGATTGGTTACTGTTTGGAGATGATTGTGCATCCCCCGCCTGCACCATGCAATCAGATTCATCTGAGCGCATGCCAGCGATGAGATCAGGAATGAGATGGCCAATAAAGACAGATGTTTAAGGTGGGAGGTCAAAAATGAAGTAAATGTGGTAGATTTTCAAAAAGCCATGCGGGGTGAAGGGGCAATTTTAAAGGGATCACATACGCACGCGCACACATACCAGTGTGGGGAATGTAAGGGTGTTTAAAAAAATTGGAGGAGGGGAAGAAGAGGGGGTAAGGAAACACAAAACATAAAAGAGTCACATCATTAGTTGTGTTGACCCTCTGAGGTTTTGATTATGTCAGTGACATAATGTTTGTCTTGACTCTGTTGAGAGGTACTTTTATGTTGCTTTTGATGTTTGGTTGGCTTCTGAACAGGCACCAAAGCAAATTTCCATACTCAATAATTACCTTTGTCATGATTGAGATCATAAACAAAGAGGAAGGAGATGTATGTTTACAGAGAATAATGTGTTTCCATCGTCTGACAGACAACACTGTTGGTGTGGCAGCCACATGGGTGAGCATCAGTGTATTTGCGCCACGCCCCAACTGATTCTTCACCTCACCCCATCATCCCCATCATCACTTCTACACTTCAAACCTTAGTAGACATGCAAAGAGAGAACAGAAGTATTGCTCAGCTACCTAAATCTTTGAACACAAAACACAATTTAATTTTTTTTGTCTAGTTTGGTGTGGCTCTAAAATGCCACACCGTCCTATCCAAGCCACCACTGCACTTCCTCTGTTGAGACTCACCAGGCAGGTTGACAAGCATCCATCCTTCCTCATCGGCCTCCGTCACACAGGGGTTGGGTCCCTTCAGCTCAGCTGCCACCTCTTCCACCTCCCCAAACAACAGGTTGCTCAGACGCTGAAACATGACTGCTGTATTATCAAGTATTGATGACTCAGGTACTTTTTGTTGTCCACAAAGAAAAAGCTGTAGCTGCCTTTTTGAATTTTCTTATTTGTGTTTATGTATCACTTGTTTGATTCTTTGTCTAATTTATTTAGTCTCTTTTTTTCAATTGAAGCCCTTTGCTGGATCTCGGAGTAGACAGGCTTCTGTAGTGCAAATGTAAGGTTTCACTTGGTTTGGAGCAAAGGCCTGGAGAGAGAGAGAGAGAGAGAGAGAGAGACAGAGAGAGGGAGAAAGAAGGGCATGGTTAGTGGTAATAAGTAGTGCTTCACTGTCAACACATTTTCTTAAAAATGACATTTAAAAAAAGACTTATTGTCACTTTTTGGTTAAATAAGCACAATAAGTGAGCAATGTGTGTGGTAAGAGCTTTCTCAGGGTTATTTCAAGACACATTACAACAAGTTGGAACTTTGTTTTGGACTAAAAACCTCAAAGCAATTTGACTTGTGTTGTAATGTCAGGATGACACAAACAGTGTGTCATTAAAAACAGTAGTTTTATGTTGTCAAGTTCCCACTTTAAACGTACTACAAGGAGTTTTTAACTGGTTACGAAATACTCAATGTCATATTGATACCTCTATATGACCTACATAAGCACAGCAGGCCATCAGTGAGAAGCTATTTCTATAGTTATTCTTAATGCCTGCCACTGTCAGATTCAGTTGGATTCCCCTTCAAATCAAGGAAAAAAGGCAGTGGAAATACTACTGCTTGTGTCCATAGTTCTTATGTGTGCTCATACGTAGCCTGTATATAAAAGGTTATATCCATTTGAACAGTGAAATACATTGGCAGAGGAACACTGAGCCACAGTAGGTGGTAATAGATAAGAACGTGTTTTACGAAGAAATAAGTCAAATCAGCAAGCAAGAAGCTGGTTGAGGATGGCTGCAATCCCCCTCCCCCGTCAAATTTAAATAACCAATCAGCACAGCCTCAGGACAGATGGACAGGCCAGAGAAGAAGAGGAGAAGGTGAAAGGACGTGATACAAAGAGTCTCACAAAGTAAAAGAAAGTGTGTGTGCACAATGTTAAAATGCAAAGGACAGAAGGCACTGAGGCAAAGGACAAGTGCATGACCTACATGATGATGTAATGTTGAACAGATGTTTGAACAGCAATCGCTTACAAGACAAACCCTTACATGTTCAAAGGCCGAGTTTTATTTACTTAAACTGTCTTAGTGCAGACAAAGGAGAGACTAGATCACAGAATGCAAACCTTTGCCAATACTTCTGCAACTTGCTGATTCACTTAAAGATATCTCTTAAGTAGTGGTTTCTTCCTGTATGCTTAAAAAAAACTATATTTCTTTTTTTTTTTTGGTATACTTTTTTCAAAGTTGTAGAGCTTTAAATTCTAGATAATAAGTTATTTGAGACCATCTGTTTGACCCACAGCCTGATCTGTCTTTAAATTCTCATGGAAATCCAATATGTGCTGCTGACATGCAACTATTTCACCAACTAAATAAGTAGATCAAAAAATGACAAAGGTTAATGGAGCACAGATTAAAAGATGAAATAAAGTGTGGTATGTACATACAGAGCAAGGGGACATGGAAGGAGATATGAATGGATGGATGCTTGTTTCTGTCCCTATTTGGAGAATCTCCATGGCATCCAGGAACATTAAGGGAGGAGACATCCATCCTAATTGCAACCATGCAGTACATACTAATGAGAGTTCTTATGTCAGATGTAATATTAATTATTTTAACACATATAGTCTCTGTCAGGGAGACTGTATGCTTGAAATAACAAAAAAGAGAGAAGAAAATGGGGCAAAGGCTGCAAGTGGAGGTCTATTTCCAAAATAAATATTATGACACTACTGGATAGAAAGCTCCCTGCTATATTTTTTAATACTCAGGGCTGTATGAGTTCACTTTGACTCAATTTTTAGGTCATGTGTTAAAAATCCTATCCGGTGAATTAAATAAAAAGGCCCATGGTTGTATTTCAGGGATTTTGCAAAGGAAATCCAAAACGATACTATGAACTGAGGCTGAACTGATCCATCCTCAACACTGAGATTGTTTTAATGCATTCCTGGACTAATAGAAACTTAAGTCATGAGACCATGACGAATAAATCCAGATAAACAAAATTCTGGTGACACAGCCTGAATGCTGCTTTGCATGAGGTTCAGAACACATCAACAAAAAACACACATTCAACTTTGACTACATGCAGCACTTCCCTGATAAAACACACAGCTAATTCATGGCTATCTGACTGGTGTAAATATAGCTATTGATACTGCTAATAGCACACAAACAACCACTACTGATATGGATTATATCCTGGAGGACACAGATACTGAATACATGGCATATGTTGTGTGGAAGCATTATCTAACAACTACCACCCATTAACACTGAAAAATGTCCTCTCTCTGAAATCTATTACATGTGAGAAAGCAGAGGGACAAATGTGCAGCATTAGTTTGAAAACTTGTAGTGAAGACAGTGTTAACATGATAATATGCAAGTCTGGCTTCCCTGTTGTGTCCACTCTTTCTTGGTCAGTCGTATAACCTGTTTCTCTTCAAACAGTCCAGTATTTTCTTTATGAGTATGTATTACAGTACATCACAGTAACTATACTGTGGCATTAATTAATGGTGGATGTGTTTGGAGCTATCATGTGCATATTTATTAATTTGTAAATACTAATTTGATGGGTTAAAACAGATGCTTTATTCTGTTTTTAGAGTGCTTTTTTAACATGTGGTCAGGGACAACAGGTGAGCCCTCCAGGCTTGTTTACAGTTCTTTGTTTCTGTTGATCAGGGAGTATTGTTCCTGTTAAATAAGGAGCGTTCAAGACAAATATAGGAAATCTATAATGACTAAACCTGAAATACATGAAGATATGGCACACACACACACACACACATTACAGGAGAGAGTATTTTTATATGGTCACTAGGAGCACTCAACAGGCTCATTTGGTGTTTTTATTTAAATGTCACATTGTAAATAAGATTTTACAGGCACAACTGCACATCCTTAAATATATATATATAAAAAAGGGCCTTGAATTATGGATCTTCCTTTTGACATTGGTCTTTTTTTCTTTTCCTTTTTTTTTAAGTAGGAGGAGTGAAGCCGGATGGGAGGGGACTCACGAAATAAAAACAAGACGACCGTGACGTCGCGCACACGTCACTGACGCTGACTGAGAGGCTCGAGCCTATTTGGCGACAGGAGGGGAAAAAAAAAAAAAGAGAGAGAGAGAGAGAGAGATATGAGCAGCAAACATAGCGAACATGTAAGATGTTACGACAGTGTATATGCAACCTGTGCGGGTTGATATGTCCAATCTGCACTTTACAACACCGCGCCGAAAACAACCCGTAGTATGTGAATGGTTGCTATTGTCGACGGTTGAAAACCCACTGGCCTTATGGTGGTGGGGAGGGGGGGAATAAATGCTCACAGCAACGATGTTTACATTTTAAATACACAAAGATGCCCTTAAACGAGGCCTGAGGCAGCGGAATAATACATTGACCTCGGCCTCAAATGTGTCCAGAGCCGACCGGCCGAGAGAAGGCAGGACTTTGTGTAAGGGTATCCAGGTTAAACATGAATTATCCGTATAAGCTGCACAGCTGAAGGGTCAAAGCAATGACAGTTGTGGCTCAGCGACACTGCACGAAAGACTGGGGAGGCTACTGACAGCACAATGAGACTGTTATTCACATAATAACACAAGTGACTACATTTGCAGAAAAAAACAACAACCTTCCCTTACGAGGTCCGCCTTAAAGAAAAACATCAACATCCGCCATCGACTTGACTCCACATCAGCATTTGGTGCAATTTACAAAACAACGGGCTGCTGCTGGCGTCCTGGAAGATTACACGTATGCAGGCTGGAGTCTTTTTTTTTTTTTTGGGACACAGGACGTCGAATCGACCTAATTAAGCCGTTTGGTTTGGGCTGCTATGCTGCTTTCAGATCTATTCCTGACCTAATAATAGGTCGTAACAAAGCAGTCAAAGATAGATAGCGAAATTGTAATGAGTCAGTGACAGACAAAGCTCTGTAGTTCTACATGTTCTATGATTTTATGATGGCTGATATCTGATGTTTTCTGTATATGGTATGTAGCCGCTTCACTGGCAGAGACAAATGTAGCTTGATACCTCTTGGGAGCACACAACCTGACACAAAACCCACAAAGTATCAGATATAAAGCAAAAAAAATAAATACAAATAAAATAAAGAATAGCTTACCTGCCTTTGCAGTATTATTCAAGTTGTAAACGAGATCTCACACACAGTAGAAACGACAACAATTCTTTAAAGCATAGCTTTAGATAGTCTTTAAGTGAGGTAGTTAAAACACCATTATACAAAAATAAAAGGCTTTCTTCTTAGAAGAAGGGCTTCGTGTAAAAATGTTACACTGATGTTTTCAGATCATAACATCTGCAGCTATTTTTTTCTCTTCCTCCTCTATTTTTTCCGCTGCAGATTTTCTTTCTGTTTATTGCTGCCTCCAGCTGATCCTCGGATCAGAATGTAGAACGTACAAAACAGCTGATTGTGAGATCACAATACGCTCGACCACGCCCCCTTTCCCCGCCCACACCGAGCCAGCCAGCCAATCAGAATATTACACAAGCCACAAGCCGGGCCTCTAGGTAACAGCCCGGGTGGGGGGCTGGGCGAGAGAGGAGCTGTCAACCTGCACCCAGATGGAAACGGTGACTTCACCCAGAGACTGATCCGTGGTCTGCTTCTACGTTCACCATCCCTGCTGTTTTGGAGCCACGGCTGGGGGATGGTAAACTGATCCCGGGTCTGTGCTCACATGGCTCCAAATGCAAGCTTTTTTTATATGACAAGGAAATATGAAGATCTGTTGACAGCCAAAGTGATTAAATTGTCAACTTGCTGCTTAATTAAATACAGAAAGAAGAGCACAGAGCTGAAGCTGTTGCAGATAACCTTTTATATCAACTCCTGAACAGACTTTGGACCACTGACAGCATATTATTTCTTATGCATATCTTTGTGTTGTAAATGTTACACTGCATCATTTCATTATACTTTTTTTCATCAGGTGCTGAATATTGTCTGACATGAATGAGACAAGGTAATCTCCTTCACATATTCTTCTCTTGTGACAGACGTATACAATTAATCATTTATTGAAACAAACGCTCATGGCCAACCTTGAATATTATTATTTTTATTTTTTAAATATTCCCAGTTGACAAACTATTAGCTTTCCCTGTCCAGGGATCTCCGGGATGTTACTTTAAATTTCATTTGTAAATAGACCTCTTTCCCCTCCCCCTCAACATCCATCTTTTCACTCCGCCTCGGTGGGGAGGACCACCACATGCCACTCATCTACACCAGCCAGTCAGACATGCTCTTTCTGAATGCAGCATTTGAGTAACCAATGAGCTGGGGAGAGGGTTTGAAAACCCCCTGCTGGTCACTTTTACACTCTGCAGTCTGTACAGCTCTGAGAATACCCACTGCCTTTTATTACTGCAGATTGTGCAAACTGGTGACTGTTGATGTAAGTGTGTGTGTGTGTGTGTTTCTCTAGGTGAGAGATCATCCTGTGTTGTGTTTGAATGAAGTTCTTTAGAGTATTACGCATAATCCTCAGTTCAATATTGCTTTTTTTTATTGTTGTTTGCTGTAACAAAGAAGGAATCTTAAATCTTGTGTACATTATTGTTTGTTTTAAACCTGTTCTCACAGCTTGCTTGTGTTCATGCATACATTTATGAATGAGTGTGTGTGGCTGTGTGCATGTTTATATGTCCACATATGCATGCCAGTATGCACCAGCATTGTGGAAGGGTGAATTCACTGGAAACACACCACACTACTTATAGCCTAGTTATCTCCAAAGTCTGGATGACTGGTTTTCAAGATCTCTGAGGATCTACACTAGTCTGCACAAAACTGGACAAGTCAGTCAGGCAGCCTGAGCAAATTCCTGTATGAGAGTTTTGGATTCCTATGTCCTCCCTGCCAGCTGAAACTTAGTTCAGTAGTAGATATCAGTCATATTAGAACGTCAATTTTGTGAAATTTGAGCATAATCTTGTAATGTTACCTGATTAATGACTAATCTGAAATGCATTAACTGCAATCTCAAAAGCGCTTTGTGATTATTTAATACTGTATGTACACAGATAAGACTTTGTGATGTTTTTTGTGCAATATGCTTTCTGTCTGTAAAGTGAAGATATTGTAGTTACTGTATACAGATGGTTGAATAACTATACTGAGTAAAGTCATTTTGTATTTTTTTTTATCAGGGCAATGCATTGTACATATGTTCTTTAATACACAGGAATGTGCATATGAGTAACCAGGCCTGGCTCTATGACTGGACGTCTCGAACGAAAATGGAAAACAAATGAACCACACCTAGAAGGGCTGTGTCTCCAGATGCCTGCGTCTCATACAGGCTCCTTTCTTTAGTAATGTTTCTACCATAGACTTTGTCACAGCGGTGAGACACGATAGCAAGAGTCCAGCACAGCATGAGCTTTCTAAAGGCAAGATGATAAGGTTTCGGCCTATACAGTTACCAGGTGCTAGGCAACTCACACACACACTACACACACACACTACACACACACACACACACACACAAGTACACATATTCATCCTGCAGAGATGATGATATCCAAACTCTGGTAACACAGTGAACACAAACATTTAGCAAGAACAGTTTGTGCATCTGCGCTTGTGTTAATGTTTGTGTTCACAAACTGATCAGAAGAAGTCATAGGCTTAGTGGAACTTGTTATGTCATGTTCTTATAACATGTACTGCCATGTCAGTAGCTATGATACAGGATGAATAGAACATTATATTTGTAGTAATTATCCTTTCATGGGTGTGATTACAACCACATCATTTACAAATACTTGGGGGCTTGAATACACTGCTCAAGGACACGGCAAGAGAAGAGGTCATGGCTTTTCATTGTCTGCCTGTTTTCTTCTTAATCCATGCCAGAGCTTTCACTGAAGTTGCCTGGCTTCACAGGATTCCCACAGTTTCCAAAGCCGGTTAGTAAATAGGTGAAAGGTCACAGCAATGTCTCCCCCTCTCCCTCTCCCTCTCTCTCTCTCTCTTTCTCTCCCTGCGTGTGTTCATGTTCATGAACGTGACATGCAGCTCTTGTTTAACAGCATGCCTGTCCTTGCCCCAGCTGACACGGCTAACTAAGGCATGTTAAATGCAGAGGGCTTCTATTTTGTTTGTGGTTAAAGGCCGAGGTGTGGTGATGGAGAAGGTGACTCAGAAGTCCAGCTTGTTGTGTGTGTTGACGCTTGAAACAGGCAGTAAAGTAACTTCTTTGTGAAAAGCTATTTGATAACTCATCCCTTCCTTGAGTGGGGACAAAACAGATGCGGAGGGGACGTGAATAAATAACTCACTCTCAGTGCTAACAGTGTACAGACAGTCAGATCAGAATATCTGTATTTAAATATTTTAAATTTTGTTATGTATTTTCATTTTAAGAAGAGAAAATGTGAAAACATGGAAATGAGAATAAAATACTAAAGGCGTGTTCACTCTTCTCTTCTTTGGGGTTGACATTAAAGTATAAATAAACTTGAACTTTTCAAGATTTTTTTTTAGATTACTTCCCATATTGACCTCCTTTTTGCTCTGTAGACTTTATTTTTGGTGCTGTCTCTCCTCTCTTCTCTCAGGCCTCTCTGCCCCCACATTGCTGGCTGCTGGCAGATGATAAGACAGCAGCCCCAGAAGATACTAGGCCAGACCTCTCTCTGGCGTCACCACTACCTTACAGTGCCAGCAGCATATACTGTATTACCTGCATATTCAGGTTGTAGATCAGTCGATACAGTTACTAGCTCTATGGAGCTAGAGCAGGGAGGTGACTAGTGTAGCTTAGCCTACAGACTGGAAACAGGGGGAGACGATGAGCCTGGTACAATTCGAAGCTTAAAAGTATTACTTCCACCAGTTTACTAATTAACACGTGTCTTGTTTGTTTAAACTGTACACAAACCAAAATGTATTGATGATGTTTGAGGCTCTGTGATGCTTAGGCACAGTGGTGCTTCCAGCTAAATGCTAAAGACATCATGCTAACATGCTCACAATGACAATACTTCCAGTGTTTAACAGGTGTAATGTTACTGTGTTATCGACCATCATGGTTTGGTGTGTTAGCATGCCAACATTTCCTAATTAGCACTAAACACAAAGTACAGTGGACAGGAATGTCTTTAGCTTTTCAGGTATTTGGTCATAAACCAAAGTACTGAAACTGAATTGTTGACCTGATGGTGGCACTAGATCATAACTGATCATCAGCGTGATTACAGTTGGATGTCTATACCATGTCATGGCACTCCACCCACTAGACATTTCACTAGAAAACAAAAATGCCAACCTGCAGGCGGTGCTACATCAGAAGGGATCACCAAAGTCATCAGGATTCATTCTCTGGGAAACACAAATTTCTGCACAAAAAAATGTAATGGCAATCCATCCAATAGTTGTTGAGAAGGACCAAAGTGTTGGACTGACATTTCTCTCTGGGTCAGTGACTTCTAGGAATCTTGTCATCAATGTAAGGTTGCCAGGCAACAAGTGGAGACTCAGGGTAGTTATTGTACTCTGCTGCTGGTCACCAAAAAATGTGTTACCATATAACTTCCTTGTGTAGCTACAACGTGTTGTTTTTACATTTGGGTGTTTACAACCAAGCCATATGCAAATAAGAGAGTTGGTGGGTGTATTTTTTTTAACTTTGGAGTGAGTAAGGATAGTTGTTCTTTATGCTAAGCTGAGATAATGGACTTCCAGCACTGGCTTCATAATTAATGCTATCAGTCAAGCAAGATAGTAAATAAGAGTATTTCTCTAAATGTCAAACCGTTTCTTTAAAACCTCTATCTGCATCTACATCTCCAAACCCACATTTTGACTGGTGTTATGCCACAGAAACTGACAAACCCAAATATCCAGATTTATAAATCTCATGGGGAAATATGGAAGAAATAAAATCTATAAAAAAAAGTTTAATAGTTGATTCATGCAGCTGTTGCCAAATATGAGCCTTTCATGCTGCAGACTTTGATGTTTGGTCCAAGTGTGTTTATGTGTATTTTGTGTACGTGTGTGTGAGAGACAGTGGCGGAAAGTAGCATTTACTTAAGTAAAATTTTTAGGTACTTTCTATTTGATTCCCATTACACAAAATTTTAGGGGGAAATGTTGCATATTTTAATTAATTTAATTAATAGACGGCTATGGTTACTACTTCCTTTTCAGATTAACATAAACATAACAACGATTAGTTGATTAAACAATTAGTCAATTGACAACTAATTCATTTGCAAATATTTGTACAGCTAATTAATCACTTAAAACACGTATTTTAAACTAAAGTTACCTAACTTCTCAAATGTGATTATAGGCAGCTTTTCTTTTTTTTACTTTTACAACACTGAATATTTGGGGTTTTGGACTTGCGGAAATCGCAATGGCCGTCTTCACTAATTTTTGTGGT